ATACTCAATGTATATTAGAATTTAGTAAAGAGCATCTAATTCTCAATTTTTAAACAATAAAGCTGTGGTCTGACTGTTGAATGTTAAAAAAATTTAATATTTAATTTATTAAAATTTGTTAAATACAGTATACTATACATGAAAATTTCAAAATAGATGTAATTGTTCTCCTGAACAAATTTACTTAATATGTAAATATCGATTAACTTAGTAAAATTTTGACTTTTATATGTACCTACTATTATCAATCGTATTTATAAAAATTGCCTTTTGTCTAATAATTAATTCTGATTGGTTAAAAGGGATTGGATTATTAGTTAAATGACTTTCTATGGGTCATTTGAATGTGAAATGACCCAATGACTAGTCACTAGTCATTTGGGTCATTTGGGTCATTTCAGGTCATTTACCATCCCTGGTTGATCCGGTATCTGGTTAACAATAAGAATGGTGAGAGATAAACGTTAAAAGACGAGCAAGGTCATAAAATTTTCAGTAGAGTATTCTGGAAGTTCACGAAAAAGAACTTACGTCGGCATAAATAACATAAATTAGCGGGTCAACCGGTTCACCGGGTTACCTCAAATCATTTGAAGGGTATTAACCAATTTCGCCGACAACCTTTTCACCGACTGCAATTTTTGGCCAGGTTTAGGGTTAGGGTTAGCCATATTTATAGCCAGTGTTGGCCACAGACACACTGTCGGTGAAATGGCTGTCGGCAAATTTTACCTAAACCCATTTTGAAGTAATCCGGTTTGTGACCCGGTTAATACTGACATAACGGGTGAGTAAACCGGAGCATAAATTTTTAGGCTGGTACAAGCTCTACACTGAATAAAAGACATCCATTTTTCAGCACCCATACTAAATACCCAGGTATTTTATATAGTAGGTCAGGGAAAACCTGTAAATCGAAACATAATACGATCAGAAAAAAATCAAAACTAGTGTTACCAATAGGGTTGTAATAACTTACTCGACAATGTAACTTGCATTGTAAGTTACATAAGTTACAAATATAAGATGTTAAAGTAGGTCAGCTTCAAGATTAATTTTGTCAGCATTAAGATAAAATAGCGGAAAATTTATTTAAAATTAAATAGAATCTAAACCAATAAGAAATATGATGTGATTACTGAGATTAAAAGTGCTCTAAATAAAAGTTTATTTACTATATATCTCACTAACTTATAACCTTAATATAAACATTATAAACTCTAACTTAACATAAATGAACTTTAATTAAAGAATTTTATCTGTGCGATCACGTTTGGGTGGAAGTTTAGTGGTGATACTGGGGATCCAAGTTTAGTGATGATACTGGGGATCCAAGCACTGTCCATAGACTTTTTACCAATCATCATGTGTTTAGAATTTATTCGTACATAGAAATCGTTGATGCTAAAAATTGGTCCCCATTTAAATGCATATTAACAACTTATCCCTAAATCCTAACTTAACCCTAAAAAAAACAATCTACGGTAAAAACTAAAAAAAAAAAGGGCCCTAAAAAATTTAAAGTTTCATAATACCGATACAGTTAAATTAGTATATATTATACTAGATATAGCGATAGTGATCATTTTAAGTTCTGTATTGCCGAATTGTCGTGACGCCAAAAAATGTCGCAAAGCAATGCGGCAAGCCTACATATAGGATCGATGGTTATACAAATTTTACGGTGCTTTCGAATCCTATATTAGGTCGTGGATGGTCATCTATTTTATTACTGTCAAATGGAGTAATAAACACATATAGATCTCTGGTTCTTGTTATGAATTTAAATAATGACAATTTTGGTTAGTCGTTATTTGTTTACCATAAATAGTGTTACAAGTATTTTAACCTTCAAAATAATTTCCTGAATAATAATTTATACAGATATTTATATAGATCATATTAAATTCATTTCAACAAAAAGTAATTATTTTATACAGTAATTGAAAGGATGCGATCGACGAACTACTGTACCTTTTTTTGCTTTAATTCATATCTGACCAGAACACAAAACCTATGGTAAAATGTTGGAGATTTCCGTTTAATCAAAAAAATTTCCGGCTTAATATTTCATCATCCGGAAAACTTCCGTATATGATATCATAAATACGTATATATATATATAAATCTTAATAAATATTATTATCATTATTCAAAAAGTTACTACATCCGACTGAGTTTCCTAAGTTCCAGTTAATAAACACCGCCGGAGAAAATGCAGCTTCTGGTACCCGGAAATTTTGTGCACCTGACCATTCTTTTGACATCAACGTAGCACGAAGATAAAATACAAATACCCAATTTTTAAAATAAAAAGTAAATACAATAAAAAAACTAATCTTTTATATTTCATGTTATGCCCGATCGCAGTTAAATATTACTGAATGCATTGTTTTTTCCTAAAGCATAAACAATATATAATAAATATCATTATCGTTATACATAAATAAAGATGTATAAATAAGATGTATAAGCAAGTATAAAAATGTATATAATAAGATGTATAATATTTACAGTATGATCTCTAAATTTATCTTTAATAGAAATACTTGCTTATACTTTTTTGTACTTATATGTAAAAACCAGTTTTAAATTTATGATCGGGTCACATCTCTAGATAAATTAAAGCAAGATGATATTTTATAAATAATTGCTTTACACAAAATTTATGTTGTATTTATGTTAATTCATTGAATTTTTGGCGCGGAAACGAAATTTTATCATATTACTTTTTTCGGTTGTTACATTGAAATCATTACAGCATATATATATTGTATAGTTAAAAATAGAACTCTAATTTAAAATTAATTAAAACACATGAAAATTGAATAATATAGTCTTCATTATTAATTCTAGCACAAAATTCTTTTAGGTGCTAATATATAAGATTGTTGTTAAAATCCAAAATATTTATTTATCACCTGGATGTATTGAAAATGGTTCGCCCGGTCTTGGCTTTAAATTACTGTGATCAGCAAATTCCACGTATCACACCGGAAATCAGGAATCTAAAAGAAATGCCAATCTATGATTGGCTAAAATTATTTTATTGATTTTTTAACCAATCATATATTGGCATTTTTTTCTAAATTTCTGATTTCCATTGTGATACGTGGAATTTGCTGATCTCAGTAATTTGAAAAGCGCTCTAATTTAACTTGTCTACTATTTAACTTTGAAAAAATTTACACTAAATAGAAATCAAATATATTCAAAATTAACTTAATATTCAAAGTCCGCTGATGATTATTATGGCTACTAATAATCGCGGACTTGAATATAGCATCTCATAAAGGGATTTACAACCGAATCCCAACATCCAAAATCCCAACATCTATAAGTCTAACAACAAAAATCTCGATAAACAAAATCCTAACATTACAAAATCCTAACAATACTAAAATTCCAACAAATAAAAATTATAATTTTTATTATCCTAACAAATTCATAATCCTAAAAATTAAAATCCCAAAGATTTATAATCCTAACAATTATAAAATCCTAACAGTTTTATAATTCTAGTAAGCTGCTAGAATTATGATTTTAATTGTTAGAATTATAAATCTTTGGGATTTTGTTAGAATAATGAAAATTAGGATTTTAGCATTGTCAGGATTTTGTGATGTTGGGATTTTTTTAGCGAGGTTTTGTTTTAGGCTTATAGATGTTGGGATTTTGGATGTTGGGATTCGGTAGTAAATCACTCATAAAGTGACAATTAAAATTCGGAATTTTATTTTCTGGATTTTGTGGTGGAACCAACTTTAATTATGCGAAAATTTTGATAATGTAAAGCTAGGGATGGTAAAAAAAAAAACGGTTTAAATCATTTTTTATACGTTTTTTTGTTATCGTGAAATTTAACTTAAAGCTAAAATTTCAAGCTCCTGCATTTCTTTGATTGAAACAACCATCTAATGATAAAAATCAAATTGCATCATTTAACGAATATAATGATTACGTAATGATATATTAAAACATTTTTCTAAAACATTTAATTATTAAAATACTAATGATACACAAAATCATAGTTTGTATTAAACCTAAAATAGGTTATTTGGCTTACATCAACCAACTAATAAATACTGTATCGCTTAGTAAAGTTACGTATAGGCGAAGGGCTTCCTTTATGTATAATAATATCAAAGTAAATTTTTTATTTGAAATAATTCTAATTTTAGTTAATAAATGTTTATATGTCTATTCAATCATATAATGAGAAAATAGTATAAAAAAATTGCACTTAATTTTACACTCTATCTTAATTATCATCTTAAAGTTATAAAATTAAATACATAATTAAATGTTCTAAACTCGAAAGGTTCTTTAGTACAAAAAAAAAAAAAAAAAAAAAAAAAAATTAAACCTTAACGCTTATTGATTTTCTTAATTATCATCATATATGCATATACTGTATATCAACTACGCATATATTTAAACTATATAATACCTTAAAATCAAAACTTATAAAATCACGTCAAACCCATCTACCCACCCTTAAAACCCATCTCTTTTTATTAATTGAAATATTTTTAAGTAAATGAGTGTCCCCAATTTAAAACCAGACTTCGAGCTTACAAGTTTATTTCTTGTCGGACTCTTTATCATTATCCCTTACACCGTAAGGCAATCCGCAGTAAAAATAAAGTCCGACTGGCTTAAAAATAATTGAATACGTAATATATTAACATAATTAATCATAATAATATTGTAATCATTTTTTTATATTAATAATCTTTAAGCCACTGTCGGAATTTACTCTTAATATAGTACAAAAAATTTGCAGGCAAATTTGCTTGAGAATCGGTGTAAGGGATAAAATCTGATATATTTTAGTCCGGTAAATTATAAATTTAAAAGCCGAAGTCTGGTTTTCCCTTGACATCAAATAATAAATATTATTCCACCTTGTATCTTTTAAATATTAATATATGCGTCGTACCGTGCGTCATAAATCTTGGAGTGTGTAAAAGTCACACTAATGCATAAATTTTGCTTATTCAAGGAAAGGAAGATCCCGAAAGAATATCGGTCGATAATTGAATATCCTGATTTATTATTCTTGGTGCTCTAGCAAACAGGTTTTCGGTTCCTTTAGTTAAAATTTCATATTTTTGGTTAGCAGTAAGATTATCAAAAGATGTATTGATGTAAATATTGACTTCTTGAGGAGGTAAATTGGGAGGTAAATTGGGAGGTAAATTCTGAGGTAAATTGTGAGGTAAATTCTGAGGTAAATTCTGAGGTAAATTCTGAAGTAAATTTTGAGGTAAATTTTGAGGTAAATTTTGAGGAGGTAAATTTTGAGGAGGTAAATTTTGAGGAGGTAAATTTTGAGGTAAATTCTGAGGTAAATTCTGAGGTAAATTTTGAGGTAAATTTTGATATTGGCCTCTAATCGTTTGGTCCATAGCAGTAAAATGTATATATATATATATATATATATTTGTGTTTTTTTTAAAGGTTCTGAACTAAAATACTTGAGGCAATAAAACTTATCGCGAAAAAACCGGACCTTTTTATATGTAATTTAGTTATAGAATGTTATTGATTTCTTTTAGAGTTTTTTTTTTTTTTTTTGTACGAACCAGGAATGGGTTTTTACGGAAGTGAAACGAAGATGATCATGCCCAATGCGCTCTTGCATTTTTTGTGGAGATTTCCTATATAAGGGCAATTGATATCGTCCAAGAAAGTAATAATTTATTCATTTTTAATAGTTTTTTTTGGTTAATCAATAAGGCCAAATAAATTACTTAAATGCAGAATGGCCGGAAAAATGTCATCACTGATACGGTCTTTACCCCAAACTCCAGAGTTGGGGCCCATAGACATGCTTGTTCGCAAATCTTATGCAATGACAATTTTTCGTGATCATATAAAATAATGTTATCCATACATCGATCTCAAAAAAAAAAAAAAAAAAAACCAAATAGTTCGAATTGAATAACAGATAAGTCTATGATATGCATGGTGTTTTGTGTTTGTATTATTTTAATACTTTTATTTATCTAAAGAGTTTATTTATAAATGTTTTCACAACTTTTTGTAATATTAACTATATTTCAACATGTAAACAAAGAAAACAAAAATCTAAGATACGAACTAATAACAAAAACTAATAGTCTGAAAAAATAAAATCTGAATAAAGTATAGCAATATCTTTTAATACAAACTTTTGTATTAGTAAATATGGAAATTTAAATTGCTGCTTCTCCTTTCTAATACATTTTATGCAAGCTTTATATAAATAAATAAAACTATATGATACAATATAAGGTGCTTTTTCACTAGTGTGTCCTATTATAAATTTTTAATAAAACAAAACCATTTATTGATGAATAACGATGAAGCGTTATGGCTTCATAAAAGTATTCACTATATCTATAGAACGGAATTACATTTCAATATTAATGAACAATATTATCACTAATGTAAAATTATTCAAATCTTTTTGGTTGTACAGTACAATAAATCATTAAAATTGGCCCAATAGAACTGTCGATACGGCTTTCCGAATTTTAAGCAATTTTATTTTACACAATCTAAAGATCATGTAAAAACGTCCACTAAATTTCGGGAAGCCATATTAGCAGTTCAATTGGATCAAATTTAATGATTTTATCCTCATTAGAACTGGCAAATTGGAAGAACAACCATACTTAGAGTGATAAGGTAGATCAACTTCGTACAAAATTCATATCTATTGAAGATAATTAATTATCCAATCGGATTAAAGATCGCGACACATCCTGATTGGCCATCTGACAAATATATTTATAGAATCCTTACTTGTATGTATCAAAAAAAAAAACTTGATAAAATTGGAAAGTTGGCTGGTAGAACATTCCGTTATATGTAATAGGTATATCGATATTATCGTTATCAAATCTGTTATAACCATCTTATTACAGTATTACAAGTATTAACGTTAAAAATTCAGCTTCAAATTTGGTCCGTTAGAATTCAATATAAAATATTTTTTAATTGCTCTATCGCTATTCAAATTATAAATAATTAAAGCAATAGAGTGTCAATGTTAGAATGTCAATGCTATATATAATAGTACTATATGGGTTGTTGCCTAACAAAACCATGCTTAGAGTATATAAAATATATATACTCTAAGCATGGTTTTGCTACCATATCTGATATTGTAATTTAGACTCTGATCACTGCAGTTTTGGCTTGTATGCCTACGTACATTCAAGGATTGCTATTTTTGCTATATCATTATTGGTTTTAGATAGCTTACAAAGATATAATAATTCTTATAAATTTTATAGTTATAAATTTTCAATATTCATGACATTCCGACTGTACGTTTTGCCTACATGTTTCACTAAAATCTCTCTTTCATTGCTTTGCACTATTTTCAAATGTGTCGATTTCTATATCCGTTAAATTTTATTGACAAATTATTTTGTAAAGGCTGTAAATTCATGCCAAATATATACTTTTTTTTTTAATTAAAAAATTTGAATAGTTGAAAACTTTACAATAATTCGAGTTTATCGAAGTTCATATGAACTGAATTTTGTACAATTCACCGACAATAAATCTGTAGCCAACAAAATACCGTCTAATAGATATTTATGCGAATTTAATATTATATAATAAGTATTATTACAAAGAATATTCTATTCGTTACATTACAAAATATTAAGTGATGATTAGATTTCAAGATAAATTGTTTGGAGTGAAGCGGAGGACTATCTGTGCATATCTATTGTAGTATAATAATATACGAGGTAACATATTCAGGTATGAATTATTATCAGACTCACAAAAAATAAAAAAATCGAAACGGCAATAAAAATAAATAAATAAAAATCTGCAGCTCAGCCCGATTAATAGGTTTAGTCGATCATAACCTAGTTATTAGGCTGCATTGCTCCGGATTATCAAAAAAATAAACAAATAAATAGTACTACCTGTTTATAGTTTTACAAAATTAGAACAATTCAGCAATATACCGATAATATCGATATAATCTCTACTGCATTTTGCGGGGATCCTTTAATCAATTAAAAATTACCTTTAGACAATTCCCCGATTTGGGGATCGTCTAAAAGCGGGTATAAATGACGTATCCAAGTCACGATTTTTAAGAAACAAAAAAAAAATGAAATAAGCAAAAAATAAAAAAAAATAAAAAACAGTTACGTATCTAACCTGTCTTGATGTACTAATAAAAATATTGAGAAGGTAATTTTTACCTAAAATTAATAACTTTACCGATTTCGTGTAACCTACACAAAATCAGCGGTCCCGTGATAATCTGCTGTTTTTACGTAATACCTAAAAATTTCACACTAAAAAAACTTTAGAGCGCTTTTCAAATTACTGAGATCAGTAAATTCCACGTATCACACTGGAAATCAGAAATCTAGAAAAATATGATTGGTTAAAAAATCAATAAAATAATTTTTAGCCAATCATAGATTGGCATTTTTTTTAGATTCCTGATTTCCGGTGTGATACGTGGAATTTGCTGATCACAGTAATTTGAAAGCGCTATAAACGAAGATATCTCGACAACCACCCAATGAAAAAATTTTTGGGGAATTTACACATAGAGGCCCAAAAATGAAAATAATTACAGATGAGGACCCAAAATAAAAATTCTTACATGCAGCGGCACAAAATAAAAAATTATTACAATCAAGGGCCTGTTCGATCTCCGAGCTATACTAGGAGACTAAGCTACAAGACTTACATAGCAAATAGTAGCGGTTTTTTGTTGGCTTACATATGACTTCCATGTTGTCTATCATGCTTAATACGGCAATGATAAACATTAGAACTTTGATTTTTATTGACTTTCACCTAGTTTTCGTTTTGATTTCTACTTTGATTTTCGTTTCGACTTGATTTTCATTTTAACTCTCGCTTTGACTTTATTTTAATTTTCGCTTTGACTTTCCTTTGCTTTGACTTTCGTTTTAACTTACATTTTGGCTTTCACTATGACTTTTATTTTACCTTTGACCTTCTCTTTGATTTTCAGTTTGACTTTTACTTTTACTTTGAGAATTTTTGCCATGTAGAATTCACAAAAATATAATTTTGATTAATCATTTAAATAAGCTATTTAAGTTCATAAATATTTCGTACTTTGCTTCTTATTTATTAATATTAATTTATCTAGTAAATACAAAGGATTTTAATATTCAAATGACTATGTATATTATATATTTTATTCATGTTATTTAATTATATATAAAAATCTTTTTAATCAATGTATTAAAATTTGTAAAGTTATAAGTTTGTTAGCGAAGTTTGTGAAGAGTACCTTTAGTTTTTTTCGTGTAAAAAGTTAGTTGCATTTTAATTCAGCTACCTTTTTTCTGGGCAACATTATTTAAGTTTGTAGCTTAATCACCTAGTATAGCTCAGAGATCTAACAGGTCTTTATTTGTAATAATTTTTGATTTTGGGCTGCTATGTGTAAGAATTTTTATTTTGGGCCCTCATCTGTAATTATTTTCATTTTTGAACCCTTATGTGTAAATTCCCCTTAAATATATTTACTGTAATTAAGTGAATATTTTTACCATCTATTTCCTAGTAAATATTGATCTTTTTTAACCAGTGATAGTTTAGGTTAAATTAGTTATACCAAAATTTAGCGAGAAAAAACTTTTTTATTAATGCACAGAAGGCAGTTTCATATACAAAATCTAGGATTAGCTGATATTATAAAAAAGGAATAATCTAATTATCTAACATGTGATGATTACTAATGATGCTTGAAAGGTTTCGTTATAGGTTCGTCTGTTGGCGATTGAAGAAACCCTTGACGAAACCTTGAAGATTAATGCAACCTTGACGAAACGATTAGAAGTAATATAAACAAGTATAGTCAACTCATTTTAAACAAGTTTATACATAAAACCTTAAATTTTTCGAACACAATGCTAAGAACTTAATGATTCCTCTCTTTCTAGAGTAAGTTGCGGCGAAGTTTCAGGCATTTTAGACTTTCATTTATTGTTTTGTGACATATCAGTTTTGCTTTTTTTTTTTAATGATAAAAAAGGAAAAAATAATAATAATCAAGAACGCGTGTAAAAGGTACTTGAATTATTTTTTTTTATTTGCTAATCTTGTGTAATGGTTTTTTTCTTTTGGGAGTACAGAAGTATCGAGGTATTCAAGTATTATGGTTTTTAAATAATTTAACATGTCATAGCTTTAATTATTCTTCAATATAAAAAAAAAAAAAAACTGGAATGCATAAATGGGAGGTAGTTTTATTAACAAATAATTTTTAAATTTATAATAGTTTTTTTTGTTTTTTGAGTGCACAAATAATGGTTTAAATAATTTGAGCAAAGAATAACCATAACATATTAAATTACGTATCGGTATATTATTTCATAATTTGAAACTCAGCCAATGAAATTTC